GGTAGGATCACACAACTATCCCATTACGTGAAACATATATAAATGATTACAACAATATAATCATACAACATATCGAACATATACAATATTGAATATCACAAGTATGTCAAGTAGTTAGTCCTCTCATGGAAACTAATTTAATGGTCCTCTTATGGAACACAAACTCAAACTGGTAGTGCACCAGTACGCGATAGCAGATCCAAAGTTAGCTTGCCGGAACGTGGCAATCACATCCAAATTTTATGCCAGAACGTCGCAATCGATACTAGTTAACTTGCCGGAATGTGGCAATCCGATCCCATCAACACACCACAATCACATACACAAGTATATTCTCAATAATCATACGATCAACAAGTGATTCATGGCGTATAATTATTCGTTCATACTCTTTTAAAATTAGTGTGATCAATAATGCATCATTAAAATACATATATACATGCATCATAATGAAACAAGAATAAACATACATCACACAATAATGAAATCACAGCCATCATCTACCTCGAATCCAAGCTTGAATCCCCTAAGACCCTTGAATCTCCCTTTTTCGGGCTCAATTCTCTTAATGTACGTCTACAAACAATTAATATATACAAGGATCAAGAATCAAAGGTCTAATTATCCGAATTATAACAAACCCAATAACCCTAGACAAAACCCTAGATCTCCATACCTAGATTATGGCTTTTGCCACTATAAATTCTAGATCAAAACCTTTCCCCATCGATAATAACCCAATAAAATAGGTTCTACAGATCAAAAATGGATACGAGGAGTTAAAATCTTTCCTTTATCCTCAAGAATAGTCGAAAACCGTAAAAAAAAACCTAGGATCGTTCCATAGCTCTCAAAGTCAAAATGCAAAAAATAACGTCTTTGGATTTATTTACGACTTTAAATCGCATCAGACATTCTACGGTGGACCCCATCCTTCTCTGGAGTCCCTAATTCCACTGTGGCGGCTTGCCCGGAGACAAAATTTTACCCGTTCACTCTAAGATCAATTTCGGGAGTTCTACTTGCTCGAATTAAATTACATAAAGTGGTATGGGTTACTTATCATGTTGTCTATCCATTCATGTAATCAAATTCATAATTACATCTCTCATTCCTTATTATATTTTTCTAGACCTCACTGACTCAGATTTTGTTCAAATTTGGACTAGGTTAGGAATTTCAAGTTACTACCAAAAATTTTTCTGGCCCAATTCTTTTCCCGTTGGCTTTTCTATAACGACGGAACTCACTCGTTACAAGAACTTTTTTTCTTATATTGAAACAATCATTGTGGAGATATTATCTTTAATTGAGCTTAGAAAAATAGGAACTTATATGGTCTGTTGTTATATTTTACACCTTACTATTTTGGCATTATTTTAGCATCAAAATTATCAAATTCTAAAAATTCATTCCACGAAGGAATAATAATTTGAACTCGGTGAAGCTATCAAGAAAATTCAGGTGATTAAGGTATGTATGCTTTTTGAAATAATTCGTTGAAATTCGTAGAAAAGACACATGAATTAAACACATTAAATGATATTTCATGTCGAAGTTCATTGAAGTAGTTTATTAGACATTTGAAGCATGTTGATTTTGGGATCAGTATTTTTGCAAACTATGAAGATGAAAAGTACTATTAAAGTTCGACAAAATCTCAAATAATAAATGTCATAACTAGACCGATGTGCCTCGTTATTAGATTTTACACCTTTATCACATTTATGATTTAAGGTTTTATCAAAAAAAATTAATAGTTTTATCTTTGTGGTCCTTATGCATAAATACCAATCCTAAAACTAACAAGCTCAACTGTCAAATCAGCTAATTCAATGAACTTCAATGGAGGAACATCATTTCAATATGTTGAATTCACTGAGTTCTTTGCGAATTTCGATGAAATTATTTCAAGTATCATGCATATCTTAACCACCTAAATATTCTTTTGTAGCTTTACCGAGTTCAAATTGTTATTCCTTGAATGAATTGAATAAATTGTTATAACTTAATAATTTTGACTTTGAAATAATGCTTCCACAATAAGGTTTTAAATCGAACAACTTGTCAGGTTATGTTCCTATTTTTGGAAGCTCAACTAGAGATAATACGTGTCCCGTAGCAGCTGCCCATAAGATTTTAATGGTGTTTTGTGATTTTATTGAATGTTTTTGGTTTGTTTCGGTCATCAGATTATGTATCATTTTGGAACAAAAGCTCAGTAGTTGATTAGGACCTTTTAACTAAGTTAATTTAGAGATTCTTTATGCGATTCTCATATCTTCGTTTTGACTCAATTTTGAATTCACCTAAAATTATTTCAATTTTGGTGTCTAAACATCTATATTGACATTGTGAACAATAGGTTTTTATCGTGGTGATGATATATATGCTCCAAAAGTAAAAATTCCTTGTGCAACAAATTTGCAGCTCACATGATTAGCTTTAAGGTAGACCACAATCTATTTTCTTGTTAACCAAAGTTATAAAGATAAAAGGGAAAAACTTGACTCTAGAGTATTATTAATTATAATGTTGGGGATCTGTTGATAATTATTCTGCCAACATGAACTACTTTAACTTATAAATCTAATCAATTGTGGCGGTGATGGCCTATAGCCTCTTGGAAATAGAATATAGATGTATCTACATTGATCCATAGAAGTATATCGAGCATCTAGTCTCAATAAGAATACAAGGGTTTTACAAATAGACTACGTACAAATTTGTCATATTGAAATTGACCTTCAGGAGGCATTATACTTAGCCAAGCTCTCAATACTAGAAACGTAATCTTTCAGTTGTTAGATTTGCACCTTTCTTTTCTAGCATTATTTAAGCGTCAAATTTTTTAAGTTCTAGCAATTCATCTCTCATTTTATCCGTTCAATAAATAATCATTTGAACTCAGTGAACTTATAAAAGAAAATTCAGGTGTTAAAGGCATGTATGCTTCTTGAAATTATTTGTGAAAATTCGTAGAAAGTTCACTTAAAGTCAACACATTGCAATGATAATCCCTGTTGAAATTCACTGAAGTAGCTGGTTGGACATTTGGAGCTTGTTGTTTTTGGAATCAATATTTCTACATTAGGGCCATAAAGATGAACGTTACCAGGATTGTTTAACAAAACCTCAAATTACAAATATCATAACTAGACCAACTGTGGGTCTCTGTCATAAGTAGCTAGTTATGAAATTTATGATTTGAATTTTTGTCAAACTTCTTTAATAGTTGTCATCTTTGTGGTGCATATGAAGAAATACCGATTTCAAATACAACAAGCTCCAAATGTTCAACCAGTTACTTCAATGAACTTCAACGGGAAACATCATTTAATTATGTTAAATTCAAGTAGCTTCTCTAAGAGTTTCAACTAATTATTTAAAGGAGCAAACATACCTCAACTACTTGAATTTTCTTTATAGCTTCACCAAGTTCAAATGGTTATTCCTTGAACGAATCGAATGAACATAATGGATTGCTAGAACTTGGAAATTTTGACGCTAAAATAATGACAGATATGCAAAGTGTCAAATCTAGCAAATGTTCCTGATTTTGGAAGCTGAACTAAAAATTATTTCTGCATCGAATGGGCTGCCTAAGGTTCTTCATTGATGTTTTGGTAATTTTATTGCATGTTGTCACTTGGGATGTTTTGAGCATAGATTTGTGTTTAATTTTAGGACCCCATAATTAATCGACTTACTGAGCTTGTGTCTTGAAATAGAACATACTCGAAATATCCCAAATGATAAGATTTTATAAAATCACCATAAACACTATTAGTGAACCTAGGGTAGCCCCATGTGCTTCAACTATCAATTCAATATGTAGTCATGTCAATTTCGAACAATATGCAACGTGAATCACCCAAAAAAGGAGGTCTAGAACACTCATAATCACCTTTTGAAAATGAGGAAGAAAGTTGAAATTGGGATTTATAACTCAACTATCCCATCTAAAATCTTATTTTTGTCGCTTAAAGTCTGCACCAGCAAAATCAGATTTTGCTATTTTTCAAGTCTCCAAATGTATCTTTAAAATTGTTCAAGACTTGATAAAAATAAATTAGATATGTTACCCTCAATAATTTCTACATTACAGACTTAATGGGGAGGTCTAAAATTTCAATCGAGGTCGTCTTGATGAAAAGAATATTTCATGCTCAACCTTCATTTTAAGTCAAAATCTAAAAGGGGTTCGAAATGAGCCTGAAAAATTCGAGATTCTCATGATGGGTCCTTCCATATCAAACTCGACTTTTTAGAGCTAATATAACCGTCTAAATTGCATTATGAAACTGTCTTTATGGAGTTTTAATTGTACTCAATTGTTCAAACTTCAGAAGCTCTGAAACATAGAAAGTTACACAAAATTCAAACTAACAATTTGACGATCGAAGTGTTAGTCTCAGATAGTCATAAATGACTTGAGGTCACTATAGGGATGCTCTAAACACTGAAAAAAGATGAGAATTAAAAAAAAATGATCCGGAGGATCATTACATCAAAGATCCGCCCTTATTATTATACTATGATTTTTTCTCAATAAAAAATATAAGGACATTGCTTTATAATAGAATGTATAGTAAATTAATTCAATCAGTTAAATAACTTAATGCCAATTATCAAACTAACATATTGTAAATAACTTATAATAACTCTCTTATATTGTTCTCCTTACCTAACAAATAAATATATTGATCAAATAGTATGTAGTAATAATAGGAGCATTCAATTTTAAAACTGTTGTAAAGATATTACCATGACTTTTCAGTAAATTATACTTTTAAAGGTCATTCTCCAAAAAAAAAAATGAAATTATCTACAATATACTAAATGTGATATGGATAAAATCAAATATGAGCTACTACAATGCCATAGTAAGGGAAAATAAATCAAGCTCTAACAATCATATTAGAGATGATGTAGCATAGTTAAGGAGTGAAATTATTTTTTCAACATTGAGATCATAGAACAAAAAACTATGAACTTACCATATGAGAAAATGGAGACTTGGGTAAATTTTTTCCGTCAAGTTTTCAATTCTATCACTTCTCCTTGAAGTAACTGTAAAGATATACACATGACAAATTAATAAATAAATAAAACTCACATCAACCATAAAGCGGAAGAACACTAAATTTCAACAATCAAAAATATTAAAAAATAAAAATAAAATACAAATTGATAAATAAGAAAACGAATAGGAGAAGGAGAAAAAATCCAGAAAAAACTACATTCAATTAATTCTAAACTAAGTGCATGCATCATTACTACAACACAAAGGCCAAATACTTAACAAAATGGAATAAAAAAGCAAACCAAACCAAACGAATCAAAATCGACATAATAAGATCTAAAAACAAAATTAAAAAATTAAATCAAAGATATTGGTTGTGAGATACCATTGTAATTCTCGCGGCGGAACTTATGAGAGCGATAGGAAAAACCTACATGAACCAAAAATATTGAAGAAAACTAATTTAGAGTCTGTTTGGCTCAACTTAAAAGCTAGTCAAACTGACTTAAAAGCTGATTTTTGACTTATTTAGCTGTTTGGCAATACTCAAAATAACTTATTTTAAGCCAAGTTAAAAGCTGGGGTAGGGGTGCTTTTTTTTTAGCTTATAAGCTGTTTTAAGTTGACCACATTTTTATCTTTTTGCTCTTGATATTTTTATACAATCTCCAAATTACTCATATAACCCTAACATTTCTTTCTTCCATTTTTCCTTTTTCACGTTTGACATAACAACTTCAGCACTGTTATCCAAACGCATACTTATTTTAAAAATAAGTTTCAGCACTTTTAAAAGTACTTTTTAAAGCTGTTTTATTAAACCCATCCAAACGGGCCCTTAATCTAAGGCCTGTGCACCGGCCCAATATAATTGATTATAAACTATTATTTGACAAATTTAATACTAAACTTAATAAAGTCTAGCATAAATAAAGTATTAAAATAACCAAAAAAAAATAAAGGGCATTGAATGTGCTACTTTTTTTTTTAATAGGACTTAAATATAAATATTGTATACCCAAAAAGAATGTATAAACTAAATAGACCCAAAAATATTTTCAAAGTATTATTGCTATTAACATGGGCATATTCATTTTTTAAGTTTCAAGCACTCAAATCTAATATTTAATCTAGTATTGTTTTATTTTTTACAATAATAACATAAAATTTATTTTTTGACTCTAGCAGGAATACTTATTCTTAAAAGTAAATATTTATTTCACAAAGTTTTAAAATCATAAGCGAAGAATTACTATTTAATAATTTAGTGAGACTCTTAGTTTACATTAGTTTCATTTCATTTATCATGTTTCATTTTAATGCTCCTTTAATTAAATTATTTTATTTTAATCTAATATATTTTTAATCATTTTTTTCTTTTAATATTTATTAAAATGTAAAAGTAAAAGTGTTGATTAAATAGAATTTCATGTTAAAAATAATAAATGAACTTTTCAAATAACCTTTTCAAAACAAGAATGGCCCCAACGAGTGGGGGAGTCAAGATTTTTATTGACGGGTTCAAAATCTGGAAAAAAAATAGACTGACGAAGTAGTGAAGAAGGTTTGACATATACTATATATATCTAATAATATATTATAACCTTGAATAAATAATATTATTTTTCGCTGAAGAGGGATCGAATAAAGCCCCTAACCTAAATGCAACTACACCACTAGGCCGCACCATTTTTAGATTGCACGTATAATATTTTTACTCTTTTCATTATCTGGAGTACACATAACCATCAAAATATATATATCAACTTGCTTCAGGTGGTACAATTGCTATAAGTTGAGAATTTTGATAAAATGACTATATTCCCTTTATCGTCCTTAGTTTGTCTTTTGTATATAATACAAAAGAAATATTAATATTATATTTAAATTTATATTAATACACTCTGTAATAAAATATTCAAATTTGGTATAACTACACACTCTAATTTTGAGAATTCACATCTAGACATTTTATATATATTTTGAATATTTCTAGCACTTTTCATATATAAAATTAACTCTATCAGATCAAAATTTAACTAAAAACGACATCTTGATTAGGTATCAACTGAGAATTACACTCTAACAATCCATTATGTCGTTATGAGTGAGCTATTCATAAAAGAAAATGAGCGAGAAAACTTCCAGTTTGAAAAGTTGAAAAATTTAGGCTAGGTTAGAATCAGGTGAAATTTGAGCAAGATGAGTGTTAGGACGATATGGAGAAAATTTTGGTGGAACGTCTAAGTAGAGTTTGTTTTAGTTATTGATAAGACGTTAAGAAGTCATAGCTTTATAGGAATTTTTGGGTGAGTAGAATTCTCGATATCAAACTTGACGTAAAAGCATTAGCTGAAAACGTCAATGTTCGTAGATGTATTGCAAAATAGGCTAATTTGGAAAGATTTTTGAGTTTTTGTTCCATGCACACCGCTACGATGGGTGAATTAATTTCCTCCATAGTGGAAGTTTCCAGCGACGATGTTATAACGAGATTGACCACTATGATGGAGTTAGTCGTTGTAAAATGTAGAAAATTCTTCAAAACTATCCATTTTCATTCAAGAATGTTTTGGAGGACTGCAGGAGTGACCTTGAGTAATTTTCACCACCTGTTTTTTGTCGAAATCATCTGTAAAAGTAAATAAATTACTCCCCTACCTTGGTATTTCAATTCTTAGGCCTTAGACTTTGTGATGGTGATTTTACGAGAGAGTTTCACTTGACTTAACGATGAAAAAATCTGATTTGAATAGAATAATCATGAGATTTTCTTGGGTATTGGGATTATGTTTTGGGTGTGATTTCATGAATTTTAGTTATACAAATATTTCTTTTAGTTGTTAATTACTTACATGTTAGTACATATAATTGGTTCTTCCACCAAGGATTTAGTGTTGGTGTCTCTCACGACAGGCTAGATTGTGAGATAAACACTCCAACTTTTCCCCATATGTATCATGAATACCCAATATTTATGCAATTGATAAATCTTGAAGATGTCTAGATGATCATTTTGCAATTTGGAATGATCCTTTGACATAATAGTGATGAGTGGAGGTGTCTAGATGTGCATACTCAAAATTAAATATTTATTTTTCAAATTATTAATATATGATATTATGTAATAAGAAAAATAATATGTTAATGACCCACAAGGTAATTTTTGAAAAATTTCATAAAATTATCATTTTACTCCTCCTAATATCAACCCCGAGAAATTTGTGATTGGATTTGAATGTTGTTTCGAGGGAGTAAAAAGTTATGAATTATGTAAGTTTCCGCTTTTCAAAATCTACAAATATTAAAGAGTATTTTTTTTTAGTGTCTTTTGGAATTTCGAGTGTCGGAATAAAATTTTATTGATTCCACCAGTTTCAGAATGTGCAAATTGGTGTAATAGAGTTGTCATATTCAGATTCAAAGTCTTTTTTGGGATTCGAGGTCCTAAGTTAAAAATTCTTGAGATTTTAAATTTTGAGTTGATTGTGGTCAATATTTGAGATTCGGATGCTTGGATTGTATTTCTGACAATTTCATTTATATTCTAGAACTGATTTTATACATGGTGAAGTCTTGGTCAAATTTTTCCGAAGTCTCGAGCTTGATTTAGACTTTTTAGGTGTTTATGTTCTTGACAAATGAATTTCACAGATTTTGGATCAAAGAGACCTCAGATTCGTGATTCAATAGTTCCATCATGTCCATAACATCAGATATAGTAGATATAATATTTGGTTTGTGTGTACGGGGTTCCGAACAAATCTCAAGAGTCCATTCAGTGATTTTATTTGAATGTATTTTGGTTGGTGTCTGCAAGCCTCACTTTCATGAAAGCGAATTAGGCTTTGCTTTATAGAGAGATCTCATTTGAGTGTGGCTTGGTTAATCGTGGACCTTCGAGGGAGTGAGGGAGGAGTTATATGAGAGCTAGACCAGTCGGATCTTCTTTGGCAGAGTGGAGTGTTCTCGAGTGCTTTTAAGAATGGTTTCATCCATTAGAGCATGAGGGAGGTGAGTCGATTGAGGTTTGAGGGTTGGACACATGGAAGTTTGGTTGTGACTGAGTATGAGTCTTGTTTATGTGATATCCAACATGCTATCACTATTGTAACAGATAAGGCGAAGAGAGTATGTAGGTTTATCAGAGGATTGACTTTATGTAACACATCGGAGTTTAAAAAGGTTAAAGTGGGTTAACGGGCAGGTCATAGGCCTGAAACACTCCATAAACCTTACATTCAAATCTAAACGATCGATAAAAAGATTCACTGTCCATTTAGGTGGCCTGGCCTCTTAAGGCAGCTAGGAAATAAGGGTGTTTGTACAATTCTCTATACAGACCGTATATACTTATATGGTCCATTCAAGGATCGATGTAAGTCACACACAAACTTTTATGTTTGGGTCATTTTACTTTTTTCCCTATGTGTTTAATACCTAAGCTATGTCATTTTTGTAACACCCGGTACTAGAACTGTCACGATCGGGGAGCACCCCCTAATCGTAAGTCTTCATCCTCAAAAAGGACTTATACTAGCTCTTAGCATTCGTCATAACATATCATAGGTCGAAAATGCAGAAAATTTAAAACGTTTACATAGTGAAGTATACTTAGACTAGGGCTGGCAAGGGGACGGGGAAAAGGACTAGGGGACGGAACGGGACATGAGAAGGGAGAGGAAATTTGGACCGGGACCGGGATTGGGGGGACAAAAATAGGTCCCATCCCGTCCTACTATATATACAGGATGGGATGGGATTTGGGGGGACGAGACGAGACGGGACGGGAGACTTTTTTTGTTTTTAAATACTTATATATTTGTATTGAAATTATACGTATTTAGCTAATAAATTTTAAATTTAATTTTTGATTTTCAAATATCAAAATAAATTTTCAAATTTAAAGTTTCAATTTTCACATTTCAAGATTCATGTTTCAAATTTCAAGTTTAAACTTTAAAGTTTTTTCAAATTTGTGAAGTTTAAATTTGTAATTTAAATATTTTAAAGTAATGTAAATTTTTAACTTTAAATTAAGTATTTAAAAGTTGGTTTAGTACATTAGTTAGTTTAGTACTTTAGTATATATTTAATTGTATATATTAAAATTAAAATGTAAAACAATAATTGTATAAAAAAATTTGAACAAAAGTTAAAACCTTTAAATTTATTCGATAGAACTTAGAAGTTACAATTAACAAATATTAGTGGCGTAGCTAATCTACGCAACCACATTCTAGGAAGGTTTCTGTTTCAATATGTTCTCATACGTAAAACTAATATTTGTTACAGATATTAGATGAGTAGCTAATTTTACTCAGCCACCTTCTAGGAAGGGTTCTGTTTAAATTAGTTCTCGAATGTAATCTAAAAATATCTATTTTCTCCTTTAAAATTTAATTCTAATTGTCGCATCATATCAATAGTAATATCCTCCAGTGTTGGAAAACTTGCTAGAAATTGTTGCGTCTCTAATTCATCACCACTGCATTCAATTTGTGTTTTGATCCAACTTGCTTGTTTTTTTACTTAACTTTGGCAAATTGTTATTCCTATTTTCGGCATTGGACCAGTCTCTAA